ACTACTACTACTACTACTACTTTAAGGTATATTGTCGTACGTTATAGTATATTGTAGTACCAGACATTACAGTGTTTATGGTATGTAATCGTACATTATACAATGGTATTTTAGTATATCTTAATATGTTGTAGTATAATGTCGAATGTCACAGTACATCGAAGGATACTGATAAAACATGCTATAGCAGGTTATAGTATACTATAGTCATATTCAAGGCTTAAAGTTGGAGGGTCAGAGATCCGAAAGAATATCCGGGACCGCCCCACACCTCCAGCTAGACGTGGACATACGCGTAGGTCGAAAGCGGAGTTCCCAGCCCGGAACCCTCATCCCCATGATGACCCCTCGGGGGGCCTCAATCTCGCAGTCTCGGTTGTTGTTGTACCTGGAGGGGTACCGCGGGCTCGTAGCACAGCCGTCCGAGTCAATCTTGCAGTTCCTTGGCATACACCGCATTTGCACCATGGTTGCACCTTGAATCTAAACTTATTCATGAGCCTGAGTTTCGCTAGATGCTCCCTAATCATGACAGGGTTCATGCAGATCAAACACAAAACCCTAAATGCCGCAGCAGCACCGGCACTGCCCATGCATGCGTATGAGTCCTTGACAACTGACCATGATGTAGCAGCCAGTCCCGCTATATAGGGTCACTCAAAAACGAAGGGCCCTGGAAACTGAAACAACAGCCTTCAGAACAGAGAACGGAACCACCTATGTTGGACCTATGTTAGAATAGAACCTGGCAGCGAAGGACTCGGTGTTCGAACCATGGGATACCATAAGGAAACTTGTCAGCGCAAGGGCTTGCCAGTTGACAGAGTCCTGAGCCCTGAAGCCAGCTTCGGTGCACTCGGGGATGTATTGGGCTCTAGGCTGACGGTAGGGTGATCCAGCGGAGTCCAATCTTGCCTTCCAGGACAGCATATCCTAAAGCCCTGATAGGGTTTGCTTTTGCATTGGCACACCTCTCGATTTGTGTGTAGCATCACTTCACAGGGGCAGTGCTAATCTATTGAGTATGAAAGTGATAGGGTGTTTAGTGCAGTGCAACTTTAGACTTTAGGGTTCGGGATCAAGATGCATGTGGGGAAGAAGGGGGTGACGAAAATAACGGCCCTCATGCAGCAAACATGCAGCATCGCAGCATCGGGCTAGCCCGAGGGAACCGCGGGACAGCACTTGGCAAGACCGTCTCACAACGGTCCACGACCCCGGGAACACCAAATATCTCAAGAGTGAACCACCTGCAATTCAGAGACACCTCCGAAACCAAGCCACCCGAAGGTGACCCACCAGTCGCCATCGCCATCTCCTCGCACTGCGGCCCCAGAGAGCCATATCAGCAGGCATCGCCACATGGCTTCTCGGCTTTCGGATGTTTGGTCGGATGTCTGGAGCTTAGAGCGGAATTCAGTTCTGCTTAGCGAAAGGTGGCTCTTCAAACTTGTGCTGCCCATTCTGCTGTAAACCCTCTTACAACCTTTTTTTCCACAAGAAGCCGGTAATCAAATGCTCCCCGTTCGGTTGTTAGGTTTTCCTCGATGAAGCAAGGGCTTCAAGGGTTCTTGCTAGCTGGAGCATCATGTGGGGGTTTCTGAAAATAGGGGACCCTAATATAGTACCCTAAATAATAGGACCCTTATTATAAGGACCCCAAAATAAGGTACCCTAATTTTCTGAAACTCCCATGTGCGGCCCCTGCTCCCCTTGGCTCCACAGCTTCGGACAGAGCGGGGGCAAGCCGCAGCAGAACCAGTCTTTCGATCGCACGACAGCGACTGAGATGTGGGGGGTTCCGAAAATAGGGGACCCTAATATAGTACCCCAAATAATAGGATCCCTATTATAAGGACCCCAAAATAAGGTACCCCCTTATTTTCTGAGACTCCCATGTGGGAATGTGGAATAAAGAAGCATTGGTGACAGCAGCCCGCACGACAACCCCGACGATCAACTGCACCAAAGGAACGCCTGGGTCCGTCTAAGACGCTTGAATGCACATGCAGGCGTATCCCTTCGGTGCAGAAACTGTCCCCGATGGACCCTCTTAACATGCAGACAGTTAAGCCCACCAGCCCGACCCCATCAACGAGTTCGGGGAAGCACACGAAAGATACTCTTGATTCTGACGGATACATTGAAGAGGGCAACCTAACCTACGTTGGAACCCATGTACAACAGAGCCACCTCGAGGCTGTTTCTCTTCACTTCGACATATGACCTGCATCGTCCACGAAGAACCCATGCCAGTGTCCGCAAAGGATTCTCCTGACTCGCCTGGCAACCATGCAGACCACCCCGAGTCAGCAATCACCAGAGTGCAATATTATATTTTGACACCCGTGCGTTGCCACACTGGCTACGGATGAAAAGCTGAAGCAGCTTGGAAACAGCTTCTGGCCCTTGGCACCTACTGACTGCAGTCGCACCAAGGGTCAAAACAGTCTTACTGAGGCTTCTAGCCTGCGAACACAGCTGACGATGTCGGCACCGGTGTTTGTAGGCGAAGCAGCACCAAAAAAGAAAACTACGGAAATGAAACTCAAATATGATAGAAGGGAATAGAATACAACAGGACGTCCAGCGCGAAGTCCCTGGCCGTCCGTGATGGCCGGCATGGAAGACGACCTTGCGCTCCGTTCACCCAGCTGGGGACTGGGGGCCAGGCTTCTCCCTCTCTCTCTCGCTCTCGCTCTGTGTCGGGCTGCGTGGTTCAGATGTCGCCTTTTGCAGACCGAAGGCCTGTTGGGTGAAACATGTACCTTATTGGTACAATCATAACTACTTGTTTCCGGTCGGGTGGTTGACTGAGATCATTGCGCAGAGACTGGATCTAGGCCATCTCTCACACGATTGTCTACAGAAGAAACCAGCCAATGCTGATTCGGAGGACAGGGGGATTAGCGGGATTTCTCGGCCAAGCTTGGCTGAGGACGCAAAAACGAGATTGCGGGTCGCATCTCAGACAGTTGCGTTGCTCCAACTTGAATACCTGCGGAAGAAACCACAGGGCCGTGTCTTGCTTCGATTGGAAGGAAGGAGCTGCGGAAGAAGCCGCAACTCCACCAATCGTCGAAGCGTTGGTAAGTCGTCAGATTTCATAAATGCATCTCTGGCTGGTCGCCTTGCTCGGCGACCAGGAGTTGCGGAAAGAAACCACAACTCCAACTCCAACGCCCCGAAGTGCTGGTGAAAACTGGAATGGCTGAGCTGCCTTGCGCGCATCTTCTGCCGAGTCCACAGCCTCTGATGGATCTAGCTCTCTTGGCTATCAGAGCCCTTCGACTCACGAGCAACCTGGGCCCTGGCTCGTGCAGCTCGCCTCTGAGCCTTGTGCGCCTCGAGCTGAATTCGATTCCGGCGCGTCTTGGCTTCTCTCTTGCTGCAGAGATGGCAGTGATCACACGCATCGCCTTTATGGCATCCATCTGCCTTGCGGGTATGGTAGAGGCACGGAATGCATTGGCCAATCTGGTGAAGCACAAAACCAGGAGAGCCTCTGACTTCATAATCCTCTCCAGGCCGAAAGCGCGGAGGAGGCTGCATGGCTTCCGCTGGGTCAGCTTCCTCAAACTCTGTTAGCAGGGTTTTTTTGTATAGTCGAAGTCAAGACAACTTTGCAAGCTATGCATCAGGAGCGCAACTAGCAGCCTACAGTAGCTGCAGCAGCAACAAGAAGAAGAGCAACAACAACAACAACAACAACAACAACAACAACAGCAACACCAACACCACCACCACCACCACCACCACCACCAACAACAACAACAACACCACCACCACCACCACCACCAACAACAACAA